AATAAAGTATCTATCCATCTATTAATAAAGTATCTATCCATCTATCGATCTATCCCATGTTAAACACAGACAGTTCAATAATCAACTAAAGATCCAAACTACTCTCTAATTAAGTCTTTAGGTTATTTCCACCAAAGAGTAAAACTTTCACAACACTGCTTCAGTTTGCACTCAAATATAGTTCTGTTGCTTTTGTGTAAGATTTGTGTGAAATGAAACTGGCATTAAAGACACGCCTAAACACTGATGTCATAATCTCAGTTTCAACATCGCAACAGCAGCCGGAACCAGCGTCCAGCCAGTCATCATGGAGTAATGTTTGACCAAGAGTCAGAAACTAATGAATATATCAAACTAAAGCGAGTCAACTGCTGTATTAGAATACATCTCAAATAGCACTATAATAATATATACTCCTGTTTGTAGAGGATTTAAAGCAGCACAATACATAATACAATGTGCCTCATGTATCAAATTATAAACAGCTCATTTGGAGCAGCACTCTTTTAAACATGATTTCACCTTAAGTCTCGTCTTTTAGTTGGTCGAAAATGAGAAAAGAAATCCCAAATATTTAAATCGCTGTATATTTTTTACACAAAAACACCTATTTTTTTTTTTTTTTACTTTAAATTAAAAAAAAATATGACAATATTCCACTTACATTTGGAATTTAAAATCAAGTTCTTGGGTTTAAACTGAAGTGGTTCACACTACTTTTAAAAGGTTGAAGAGCTTTAAAAACACAAATGTAGCTTCAAGGATCAGGAATGTCCTGAAACAGCTGGTCACTGTAGTTTTTAGGAGGGAATAGTTGTTGGGGACTATTTTCCGCAGTGGATGAATCCACATCTGGTGCTTGAGAGTATTTGTACATGTTCATGGTGATGAAGGAAGAACAGTGAGGTTAACTGATGCTTTAATGGACGTCTATGGCTCAGAGGAACAACAGAGATCAGGCTGTGATACACAATAAATGTTAGTGGATACAGTTACTGCTTATTAGAAAGAAAATATCTAAACTTATTCTTTAAGTTTGATGTCCCACAACAACCACATGAAAAAAAATACCACAAATAAAATGTACAATTGTCGTTTATTAACCATTTTCAACAAAGAAATTAACCACGTTTCAGTTTCTGCTCACATTAAATGGAAAGTTGAATCTGTTACACGATAATAATCAAAATACAGACCGCTCATATCTACAGGTAGAACGCAACAAAACAGTACAAGTACGGAGGAACATTGTTGAAGTTACATTTTACTTTACTGCGTGAGAGAGAGAGAGAGAGAGAGAGAGAGAGAGAGAGAGAGAGAGAGAG